GCTTTGCTCACATTTTTTTGTCTATAATGCTGGTTTAAAAGCCTGGAAAGAAACTGGAGTTCAAAGTTCACAAAATCCCTCTGTGGATAACACGATGACAGAAAGTCCATGAAAACACAGATAATCTTGCTTTTAAGGTTCGTGCTGAGACCTAAAAAGTAATTTCAAATTTGAGGCTCGGGGCTTCAGCAGCTACACACGTCATATTCTATTTCTGGGAGTTTCTTTGACAAAATATGCGTGGAAAAAAATGGTTAGAAATTAACTTTCTGCTCTTGAGTAAGTATTGGCTGCATCTTAGTCTAAATACAAGGGCTACTGTTGAAGCCACATGTGAACTGGTGGTACTGTATGTGATACTGCATTTAAACGTCACCTCTCAGTTTCATAAACTGCAACTAAAGAGGATTTGTCTGCTAATTGACCAAATCCCTCATTAATTGAATAGGTTTGTAGTGAGTATAAATGTTGAGTCGAGTTCAGCCAAGTCCATTAGAGTCAAGTTCACATGGTCTTTGTCTTTGTGTGTGCCTCAGTGATGGACTGGCAAATTGTTCACCAGATGGCTGCTGTGACTGGCTCCAGTACCCTGATACACTGACAAGGATGAAGCGGGGAAAATCATTTATTGATTAGGGTTTTTTTTTTCACTATCTTTGGGCTAATCTTTATCCACTAGCTAATTGACTTATTTAAATCTGCTTTGTTTTTACTTTGTGCTTCTGAGTGTTGCTGCGGCTGAAATGACCAAATGATGTAACAAAACATGTAAATTTACATTTAAAACTGTGAGTAAAAAAAAAGTCTGCCCTTATATATTTCTGACTATATTGTGTCTTTAACACTGGCTAAACTATATGGCTAAACTACTATGTATGTGAAGTATAATGAATCAATGCACCAATATTTATCTCAATCCTTAGACATCGTCCAGATTCATCCTCTGACAAGCCCAGCAAGTGAAGGTGCCATTTCTGCATTGTTTTCTTCACATCTAGCTCTGTTTCTGCAGGGTTTTAGATTGCTACATTCACATTCAGACTAATCTGGCAACAGTATCTCTAACAGTCTAATCTTTATGATTACACCAGTCCATACTGGTGGGTACAACGTACTGGGGTGTCAGTGTATTTTGAGACTTTGGTCTCCGTGTGTTTTCTGCTGAACATTTATTTTTATCTAAATAAATATATGTTTCAGAAATTGAGATATTATTCCATTAAATAGGACTTCTTCTATGAACTTTTTTATTTATGTTCTGAATTGAATAAAAAACCTTCTCTCACCATTATTATTACGAAGTTAAATCTAATGACAACTGGGTCCATTTCTCATTCACAGTCTAGTGACAAGTAACCTTAACTGTGTAGTTTTGGTGTCCATGTAAAAGCATCAACAGTTATTTAGTTTAACCATTCTAAGGTTCATCCTCAGCCTTTTACACACAGCAGAACAACAAACACAAGACTCACTGTCTCTTGACAAATATTAGGAGAGCTTCTCTGTGTCTGCATTTTTCTCCCACCACCAGTAAAATGATCTTTCTGTTTTCAAGTATACAACATGGACAGCACATTACCATTCTACTGCCAGAAATAAAAACTGAGGAGGAGGAGGAGGTCTCTTCAGTGTGGGGCAGTGAAGGTACAATCTGAGAGGCTTCAAACCTCTTAAAATGCCACATGTTGGGAGGTCTATTTTCTCTCAATCTCTTCTCTCGCCACAGGGAAGTCTGAGTGTGTGTATTAGTGTGTGTATTAATGTGTGTGTGAGGGTCTGTGTGTGTTTCAGGTTGAAGTCTAGGTCAGATGCAGGTGGTAGTTCTTCACCTGGTCGGATCAGTGGTTTATAAAGAGAGAACAGCAGAAATAGGCACAGAATACAGTACATGAATGCATGGATACAACATGAATTAGTGGAGACATAAAAAAACCAAGTGTTTCTTTATTAAACAGCCATAAAAAAAAGACACTTGTTGGTATATGATGCCCTCCAGCTTGTTTTAAGAATGAAGTGACCCTACATTTATTTTTTGGCTATTGTTGCTATTTAGGACATTAAGTCAAATTTGCAGCTGATTTTTGGAATATTTTTTTATATATATTTTGTCATGTTTGTGTTGAATACTAGCAATATTTGTCACTAACGCGTCATGTTTTGTGAAATGAAGTAATTCTCACTTAACATTGAATTGATATGGGTATTGTTTTGGTAGTGTTTGTTTAGCTTGGGATTTTCAGTCGTGTTCATTGGCCTTTTTTTTTTATTTTGCTGCTCAGTTTAAAACTCTTTTTTAAGTTTTACTTTTGGACTAACATGTTTTTAATTTGACAAACTATTGTCCTCAACCTGCAGCGACATTTTTGAGTCACATGTAGGGACATGGGTCAGCACTTGAAGTATGTGTGTTAGTGAGTGTGTACAAGACTGTGGTGTTAGTAGAATGATGGCAGTGTAGGAGAAAAGGGGGCGGACTATCACCATCAACCAAATATAGAAGTCCCTCAGTCTCTGGAGAGACCTCCAGGAGTCTCCTTTTACACTTTAACTCTGCCCACTTCGCCTGATGAGCCTTGAGGCTTGGAGCTGCAGGCTTTGTTACATCAATTTCCCTGCGAGGAGGAATCATGGTGTGAATTTTATTAGTCCTTCTCTGCTGTATATTGCATTTCTATGATAGGGATATTGAAATCATTTAAAATGCCAACGGTGTGTTCTTTCAGAGATAGAGATCTTGACTGTCCATCCTAAGTGGAAATACTTGAGCAGCAGTGGTCCAGCCTGAGCGCCTCAATGAGGCTTGATGCAGAATGACAGTTAAGAGAATGGTTCTCCTAGAGAACCGTTTGTGCTTTTACCTCACTACAGGAAGGTCAGTGGTTTGATCCCTGATGGAATTCTGCATGGGGTTAGTATGTCTTCTCTGTGTGTTTTGGATGGCGGTTCTTCAGGTTGTCTGTTTTCCCCCTCAATTCAAAAACATACAGAATTAGGTTCACTCTAAATTGACCACAGGTATGAGTGTGAGTGTCAACAGTTTGTATTGTAATGAAGCCATGTGATGGACAGTGTGTTGTTGTACTTGCAACTGTGTAAAGAATTAGTTTAGAGAGGAAAGAAATCAAAATTTCAAAATTTCAACACAACAGAAGATATGTAGTGATAAATATAACCACTAAGAGGCCCTATTCCATGGAATTATATTACAAGGGTTTTTTTAACATATAATATTACAGTAAAAACAATGATATGGTAGTGATATTTACAGATGACTCGAATGTCAAAGGTCTTGACCCTGTACTGACATACTGTATTTCTTATAATAAAACAGATGAATATGACTCTCAGTGCATGTCTCTGAAACTCAAAGCAGCTTAAGAGGTTTTTGTTTCTTTTGTGAATTAATTTAGGTCCAAACAGACCAAAAGCCGAGCACTGTTTGGAAGGGTGTTTGTGTATGAAGGGTCTTTGTGCCCGGAGCCCTGAGGGCAGCAGAGCAGAGCGCGGCTCTTTCAATGTTTGATTTATAATTGAAGGCTGTGTTTACATCCGCTCTCCGGCCTCCGCAGCACAGTTGTACGTTTCATGCAGAAACCCAGAAACTGAAGCCCATTACATTTTTTAAAGAAATAACAGTGAAGTATGGAGCGGGTCATAAAGCATGCTGTATATATTCGGCTGTACATCATTGTGTACACTGGTGGTGCTGCGACAGGACAGCAGAGGAAACATTAAATCACCAGCGACAGCTGAGAAATGGACCACCTTTTGGCTCTGTACAACAGTTGCATTGTGGGTTACGCGGATGATCTGAGCTGAGACCGTGGTTGCAGCTAATGAGTGATCATTACACTGTGACCAATCAGCAACTTCATTCATTACGTCTTGGCACAGGGAAGCTGTTCAAAGGTGTATGTAATTTGGAAACTCACACGAGCCTATAAGAGATTAATGAAAGCAGGTTGGAGTTTGTTTTTGTGTTTCTTTTTTCAAGGCAGCAAAATATTAAAATAATAAATGCAATAATAAATGCAAAGGTAACACCTGAAAGCTTTTTGCAGAAAATTGCAGACACCTAAGCAAAAGCTTAAAGTTAGCCAAGGAAAAATTATATACTTACATGTTAGTCATAAAGTTGAGAATTCACTAAATATAACACAGTAAGTTAAATTATATGTCAAAGGAGAGTGACATTTCTTCTTTTGCCTCATGCAATAAATGTTTTGAGTTGTGGACCACACAGAACTGGTCAAACTGCCACATCTGGTCCACAAGCCAGACTTTGGACTTCTTCTTCTAGTCTAAGAACCAAATTAAAAACATTTGCGTCGGTGGTCAACACTTTTTTTTCTTTTTTCCTCTCTCAGAGGTGATATCCATGGATCTTTTCCGTGCCAGAGTTTTGGAATGCAGCTGCGTCATCATGCATAATGAACAAGCTCAGTTTCCTGGAAATCACTTTGTTTTTCTCCGAAAGTCTAATTCAACAGACGTATTCGCCAACCGCCTCACCCCCCACCTTCCAACCAACCCTTCTTCTGTGTGCAAACAGCGATCGGTGTATGAGATTATAAAGTATTCATGCAGCTCGTCAAATTCTGCCAGGCAGCACCATTACCCGCTTTGCTCTGTGGAGACATTGAAGGTGAACAGTTAAAGTGGATGGATTTACAATGCTCTCATCTATTCCTGTGCATTACCTAACCTCCACATACACCCAGCCTCTGTAGTACCAGCTCACTAAGTTTGTGCATTTTAACCTTACTCCATTCACTCTGCTGCACAGTGGCACCAGTACACACCCTGAGGCTGCTGTAAAGTACTGCGCTTAATTAAATCCCGTTACAGCACAAATATGATTATTTATTTAAATCCTGCACTAAATTGTCTCTAAACCATGTAATAGCCTTCCAGCTGCTTTGAAAGCCTCAGCAGGAGCCATTAGAGGCTGATTCCAGAAAAGAAAGAAAGAAAAAAAAAAACACCTGAGTTTCAACAGCAATTCTGCTCGTTTAAGAAGCTTTGGTGCAAGACTGAGGCTCGAACATTAGAGCCACTTAGATCAGGACTGCTGATGTAAGTGAAAATAAGAGGAGCAGAGGGAGGGGATCGACTGGGAGACGTTTCCTGAACATGTATTTATTTATTTAACTGTAAATACAGATTCTGCAAATAAATAATGTAACATGCACAGAAGACACCAGCTGAGGATCATGTGCAGGATCCGTGACACAGATGCAGGGCCAACTTTACTGATCCACTGAACTGGTGGTACTGCATGTTTACGACAGAGCTCTGAGCTCTTAAAATAGGTGGCCTTGTCCTTTAAAAGCCCTGCCTTTTAAATATTTATGCGCACACACGATATAATCCAAGTCTGTGCTGGAGTTTTTATTGATGTATAAAGTAAAGCACGCCATCTAGTGGTTTATTGATGCTCTGATTTACTGTTTTGTTCACCTTGGTGCGGTAAGAAGGCATTTCTTTGTCATTATTAAGTCGACAATTGTGTTATGAACCATAACTATGGTACAACTTCCACCCATATATGGTAAATGTTTAAGACGTTTATCCTAATTTAAACTCCAAAATACAGTACATATTTTAATGATTTTAAATAGAAATTAGGTTAATAGAAAATATTCACTTGAGATAATACAAAGTTAACTAAAATGTTACATAACACATTTTATTAGTGGTAAATAATATTTACAACAAAATGTCATCTGTGCATGTAAACATGTTTACCCCCCCAAAAATCATCTTCACTGTAATGAAATATTAGTAAATTTAATTTCGGATGACGTCAATGATTGAAGCCTGTGTATATCAGTCATCTTTTTTATACAAAACTTCAAGAATGAAAGGCAGATGCTTCCCAATGCTCAAGTATTTTGGATTCAGAGTAACATGAGCCAGGACTTCCCTGAGGTCTTCATCAGATCCTCGTGTTCTGTTGATGAAGAGTATGGAGCAGCCAGAGCTGCAGAGAAGCTCTTCTTTCTGCAGAGCCAGCAGATCTGGGAGGTACTGCTGAGGATCATGGTCCATAAGAACCAGGTCCAAACCCTTTCTGCAGTTCTGATCCAGAAACAAATGAAGTGTTCGGATTATGTTGGCTGAGCTGGATGTCAACACCTGAAACTGAAGATGTAAAAAAAATAGTTCTTTTCTGTGAGGTTTTTATTTTTACTTGTTTTCTTTTTTTCCATTTTAGGCTGTGCTGCTGTAATGTACCTGGTGGTGTTTAAATCCAGACACAAGGATGATTTCTTCTCCCAAGTCTGCTGTGAGAGGGTCCATCTCCACTGTGATCAGCTTGCCAGTAGGGGGCAGTAGACGCAGCATGCGGACAGAGCTGTAGCCACAGTGCATCCCCAGCTCCAGAACACTGGAGGGATGGAGTCGCATCACTGCTTCATCTAATATTTTACCTGAGGGTGAAAGACAAAAGTGAGTGTAAGAGTATTTAATCATTCTCAGGAATGCAGTAATATTTTTTTTTAAATATTACATTTACTTGCAAATATAAATTAGTGAAATTACTACTCTACACCATTTATTTAAAAAAAAACCCATAGTTCTCCTGTACTTGTTACCTTTATTTGAACTTTTTATAATAACTTCAAACAAGCATTTAAACATTTAAATGTGAAATGGATATAAAAACTGTGCACCCTCTGAAATGCACTTGTGTACCATTAGGTGTCCGTGTACCTCAAGAAAATATAGAACAGCTTCTTTGATTCAGGAAACATGATTTCTTTCTTACGTGTTTAGATTTTCTACCAGACTATTTATACAAACCCATCCATGTTGGTCTGTATCAACATCTAGCTTTCACAGGCAGAACTTAGTGAATAATGAGGAAACTGTAAAGAGCGTTAGTCTGGATGAAGGCGAAGAAGAAAAGGAAGAGCCTGACAAGGACAATGTGATAATAGGGTGAATAAAAATAGTCTGGGGTCCTGTAAGGCTTGATGCATTATGATAGAAAAGACATTGAGTTTCATTAGCGGTTGGTCAATAATAGATAAAAGAGAGATAAAAAAGACGGTTAATGATAGATTAAACAAGGTGATAAAGGATAGAGATGAAAGTGCATTAGTAAATGAGCAGAATTAGTTAAAAGTGCGCGTGGTTTTGGACAAGATGAATAAAGCGCTGATAGCAAAGGGTTGTGTAACTGGTACTTGGCAAGCAAGAAACAAATATAGCTCACTAGTGCCACCTATTGGCAGCAACCATATTAAAACAATATCATAAATTCGTGTCATAATTTGATGACAGAACCATATTAAAACAATATAAATTCGTGTCATAATTTGATGACAGAAAGCCCCTCATCTAGAAGCAATTTAACAAAAGTTCTTTTTACTTTGCATATAGTATTGTGTTTGTATAATTCAGTTCTGTTAGGATGCATTTACCCATGTCTTGATCAATTGCTAAGGAGGGATTTTTCGCTGCGTAGAGGTCAAAGGTCTCCAGGACACTGTCCACTTTGCCGTGGGTGCACTGGGTGAAGACAAAGGCGTGGGTCCTCCTCACACAGACTTTTCCTCCCACCATCTTCCTTGCCCAGGCCAGTGCTTTATGGTAGAGCGAGGAAACTCTGTGTCTACATCGAGTGGACAACATGATGATGGCTGGAAGCAGAGGAACTGAAACAGCGAGCAGCCACATGTTCATACGAAGGTTGGATAAACTGAACTGATGAGAAGAAATCCAAGAACCTGTGAAGACAAGAGAAGGAAATGGAATTTTAAAAATACTAATCTTTAGCATATATTTTATAATAGATGGTGAATATAATTC